GTCTATTTTCACAGGAAGCTGGATGTCAGATAAGCTCTCCACTGTGTGAAGCCTCCCCCTCAACAAGCAAGTCTTTCCATGAAACCACCTATGAAGCAACCAAGACTCCTTAAAGATCTTGTCCTATCTGTGTGTTACATACATGCACTCCACATACACCCCCGCCCCCAGCACCCACCTCTAATTGTTCAGGTGAAGAGATGCCAGGGGATATAAGAACAAAAGATAAACCAAATTAATTATTTTATTTTTTTAATTAAGTGAAATTTGGATACCACCCTAGGTCAAAGTGAACTCTGTGAATTTTTATCCAAATAAAAAAAAGAATAGTATCAAGAGCGTCAGTTATCCATGCTTCTACTGGCAATGTTATTGAAACAGAAAGGCAGTTTTATTTAGCAATTGAAGACAGGAACATGCTGTCAGGGGTTTAATAGCTTTCCCATTTAAAAAAAAAGATAGAAGACTTACTGTGGAATTGAATCCCCGACAAGAAGAAGAAGTTCAATTAAACCTTTCAAAATGTTGAAGAAAGGAAAAATCTTTATTCTGAGTATGCAGAGCAGCAGCTAAAGGAACCTGGATGGAGCTGATGGACATCAGAGCCCCTTGGCACCACCAAGTAGCCCAGACTTGCTGACAATACATTCACCTTCTGTAGCACCATCTGCCACGGGCTTCGGTCACGTTGCCAAGTAACTCTCCCCAGTACACAGGCATTCTGCTGCTAATGACGACACATCTAGCAGAAGAACATGAACTCCAGTCAAACTCTGACAGCATCCCAATTACACTGAAAAAAGATCCAATCACAGATTCTTGGACAGAGAAGCACGTAAGATCTTGACAGCAAACCTGCCTGGCCAGGCAGGAGAAGGAAGCTGTACAGAGCTCTGAAAGGCAACAGGTTAACAGACCTCCACGTGACAACTTTAGAAACCTGGGAGGAAGAAAGGGAGAGGATCAATTTAAGTGACTTGCACCCTTCTAGTTACTGGTGCAGATGACTGTGACAGCATTATCCATAATTAATTGGGTGAATTTTCTCGTAACATACAGTAAACCAGAAGACGAGCATAACTGACCATTCTGAGCCTCGCTATATTAATGCACACTTTTCACTCCACCCAAATTCTCAAACCGGAGTGAAGGGACTCATCTTTGAGCTTGGCGCTGCACACAGAGGTAGATGGCATCCCTTTGCAAATGCTCTCTGGCATGTGTGACTAACAGAAGGTGACAAGATACCGACACATGTACTGAGTAACTGCTGGGAAGGTAAGGTTGTTCAAGCCATCTTTGCAAACCTGGCGTGCAAAGTCTGGTATATAGAGCCATGTAGTACAGCTGCCATACAGCCCAGCAGCTCCAGGCAGGACCTGTCTGGGATGCAACAAGACTTGCTAGGATGTTACTAGTTCCCATGGGAGACAAAACCTGACAGTTCATTCTCTAGAAAGTCCTAGATCAGATGGCCTGGTATCTTTATTAGGGAAGAGTAAAGTGCTTCATGACTTCCAAATCCTCAGCTAGCTGGAGCCCTAGCTGGTAGAAAGTCTACATCAGTCCTTTCCCTCAGATAGGATCTTCAAACAGAAAGCCAGTTGGGAAATACAGAAATCTGTAGCAAGGAGCATCTTCTAGGAACAATTCCAGCCAAATTGGTACAGCAGCAGCAACACAGGCATCCAGGAAGGTTAGAAGAATAGAGCTCGCACCTACGGCTATGAAAGACTGAATCGTTCCAAACGCCTGTTGTAGGAGAGCAAAGAGAGAGAAGACAGAGGAACTTAACAGATATCTGAAAAGAGTGATGCAACTGGAATCCCAAACTGTATCACAGCCGAATACAATTTTCTTTGCAAAAGAAGTCAACATATATATGGATCTCAGTTGCAAATGAAAGCTTTTGCTGGCTAACTGCAAAACAAAACAACTGCCAAAGCAGTTAGGCTGGGCAAAGAAACAAATTCCTCCTACATCAAAAGCTCTGATTCTTCTGAAATAATATAAAATAAATAAGAAAACCAAAACAAAACACAAGAGAAATCCCCACATATCATTAATCAGTAATTATAGGTGGAAGAGCAGTGCTAACGCCAATGAGATGGCACTTTTGCTCAGAATATTCCTCTGCAGGAAACTTTCAAGAGTCAAGGCAGTATTATTAAAACATCCAGAATTGCCTCACCATCATCTTACATCTGTAAATGAGATTGTGTTTTGGTGAGGACACAGTATTATTCTAGGAACAGCAACAGGGATGATGTATTCATAGAAACATCCAGCTCCTAATTCCAAGAATGGACTTGGAATTTAACTATATATACAGTAGTCAAATGTTAATTTAGGGTTAGAGTACATGACTGCCCCTTACACACAGCTGACTCACGAGCACCCCTAACGCACAGCGACAGAGTGATGCTTAGGGCACATCACTCCTTCCTTTCAGCAGAACATGAAATATTGGCCACCGCAGCCAAACTTGCAGCAACGAAGGACTCTGCTTTGGAAGGGCCTCAGGGTATCATCATAGGCAAGGTGACACTGGAATGAAAGGGTGACAGTAAGATACAGTCTTCTTTGACCCATAGGCTTAGGACACATGGCATAACTACCTAGTATTTTCTCAAGTATCTTTGGGGATACTCTTGCAATTGTAAAAGCAGCAAACATGGGAGTTCCTTGGATCAATCACGTGGTTTTCTAATTAGATCAAGCCCCTCCTTCTGCTGGAGTTCCTTGAGCATGCCATCACAGATAAAATACTATCCCAATTGCACTGCTTGCAGTATGATTGTACAGGCTCAGCCAATCTCTCAAGTAATTCTCGAAAGACCATTTTTCTATTATACAAAATAGTTGCTTAGCACATGCGTAACAGGAAAACCAAAAGCAACACAGGCAACAACAGTTCTTTCATCAGTTTCTCATCCCTATTCCTTGACCACCCATATCAAGTAATTAATATAGAAAACACATCCCACAACTCCAATAAACACTTTCTGAACACCTGCCTAGGAAGAAAACAAGATTTGCCCCAGAGGAAATTCACTTGATTTGACTTGCAGGTGTAGAGTGATCCAGTTGAGCCCCTTTCATTAAACAATGTCAACTACATTTGAAAGGGTAGCAGCAGCTTCAGGATGGATAGTAAATGGTAAGCTAGTAATCTAGGAACAGGTCTCAGTGCACCTGCCCATTTCTTTGTTGTCCAGCTTCAGAGATTTGATAGGAAGGAGAAAAATCTGGGGTTTTATCCCCCCTCAAGCAAAATACAGAGGGCCAGCTTCTGCATGTCACTAAGAGGGTCTCCAGATCGCACAGTAAGGCCAAAATTGCATTTGTACGTTAGTGAAGCCATTTTGAAGGACATTAACCCAGACCCTGCCATTTGGTTAGCATCTACTTCAAAGCAGTGCCTGCAATCCTCTTCCCCAACTCGCCTGATGCTAGTGAAAGTCTGGCAAGCTGTCACTCCTCAGCTAAGAACAGTTCCAGGCTCTGGAAGGGTGTGGAGGATGGGGGGAGAAAAGCTATTGCATGGTGAGCAAACACAGAAGCCAACAAGCTTTCAGTACACCACTTGAGGCTGACAAAGAAGTAGCCTTTATTGCATTAGTTAGGGAGGACAGCCCCTGAAGAGAGTGTGTATCTCTGTGTGATGTATGTATATGTACGCATGTATTTTTAAGGGGTTCAAGTAGCACGTTAATCCTTGTTACTCCCAAGTTATCTGGGACCATTCGTACATTATAAAAGTGTTCATGTGATAAAAACAGACTAGTACTCTTCAGGCTGGAAGAGAGACTCTTCTGTAAAACAATGAATAATAAGACCAACAGGCAGCACCTAAGCATGTAAGAAAATTCATTCAAACCAGAGGTTTAAAAAAATCAAAGTAATTTTCTACAGAACAAAATTAACTTGTGAAGCTCATTGATACAGGATGTTATAGAGGGCAATACATGAATTGAAAGGAAACAAAGTAAGCTTGTGGAAAATAGACCCAGCATATCTATTAGGACAGAAACAACCTTTGTCTCAGCAAGTAACTAAACAGCAAAATACCAGAACTAAGGACAGCCACGGGTGAAGGATCACCTGTACGTGCATCCATTTCATGTGCTATTTCCCTATGTTTGGGCAACCTCAAGACCATGAGCATTACAAGAGACAGGATGTTAGGCAAATACGAGAGTCTCAGGAAGCCTTCTGTCACTTGGCCTTGGGTCTCTAAAAATGCAGAAACAATGTATGTTAAATTAATTAATTCAAGATTATTCTATTCCCAGTTTCTGAGCAAAACCAAACATTTGCATGATGTGAAACACAACAGCACATACTAGGTTAAAAAGTGAGGGACAATTACAAGTTAGTCTGTCCTGATTTCTGATTTTTTATTGTTAGTTATTTCAACTTGTTCCATTGGCAATGTCTTGTTACGACAGAGCATTCAGCTTCCACTGATTAAAAACTGCTTTTAAAATCAGTCCAAGCCCACTCAACATGGGACAAGGGAAAACAAAAAAATCAAGTAACGTTTCTGGTGCTGAAAGACAGTATTTTGTAGGAACAAAACATGTAGCATGAAATGTCAACACCTTTATCATTCTTTTTTTCAATCCATCACCTACAATCTTTCTTACTGAACAGGCTACTGTAACATATACACCTCTGCAAATATTAAACTAGCACTGCCAGCACTATTTTTGTTGTTTTTAACAAAGAAAAAGTCACATTTATTTTGTAGTAGCAATAGTTTCTTTTTTATTTTTAATATACTTTAGGAAACAATATACAAAGCTGAGCTTTGCCACCATTTTCAAACAGTGGGTTGCTCCAATTACACAAATTCAGCGTTTTGTGATGGTTAAGAACAGCAGTCAGCACCAGACTTAAACAGTTAGCTACAACACAAACATCCTTCGAAATGAAATGTCATAATATCAAGACAGGTAAACCAGGAGTTAACATATGACAACCGTTGGGGAGGTGTCTTAAATCATTCTTGTTGAATTTTATATTTCATTAAATATTTTATACACATTTTCCTGTTTACAAGTTTTAAACAAAACCTCCCTTGAGGAATTATTTAAGTACAAAAATGTTCAACAAGAACAGTTCTAATAAAGAGTCCCCAAACAGACCAAATTTTAATATGTGTTGACCAAAGGAAATGAAAACCAGTGTTTCTTTGTTTTAACATGTTTATTACAACAGATACAATTCACATCTGACTAGCTTTTTTTTTTTTTCCTTTCCCCTCCCACAACCATGTTAACATGTTCATTGGGCTATTTCCTTATATTTGAGCAAGTAATGTACTTTCAGCACACATGCCCAGCAGTACTATAAGTCCATTCTTACAGGGTGCAAATGGAAATACGTTTCAATAATTTATACAAACAAGTGGGTTATGCTCAATCACTGCAATTTTAAGCTACTGTACACAGGAATGAAAAGATTATAGAAAAAGTGCCATAGCAACAGTGCCTTAAGAAAAGAGAAAATTAGAAGCATTAAAAAACTGATAAAATCAGATTTAGGATTTCACAGGGAAATGGAATACAGAAAATGAAAAACATTTCTCTGTAAAACAGAAATGGAGAAGCACTGCTCTCGATTCGGTGCAAGTGTGGACACAGTTGTTTCATGATATTTTGTACATTACCCAAATTGTTGCAGCCTTAGACACAGATCGCCTGGCGCTTGCATTGAATTTTAGGAAATGCAAGATTTCTGAATGATAAATTAACTAAAAAAAAAAAAAAAAAAGAAAGCTAATTTTGCAGACAGGTTTACATGTAAAAGGCTAGGTATTTAGCCACCTCAGCATTGATTAGTTTTGGATGTCTAAGCTCTGATACACATGGCTTCCCATGGCTTCACTCTACAAAACATATTTACAACGTGAAGAATACATCTACAAGAAATCTACATTTCAAGGGTTTTACAAATCATTCTTGTATCTTTCCCCTGAATTTGACTCCCTCCTGTCCCCTTCCCCATGTCAACTTTTTTTCTGCCCAGCTCAACGGTCCAAAGTCTACTCAAATGCAGCTCAAAAGTGTTAAGACTGGGCATAAGTTTAATAGTTCCTGTACTCAAAACCATGTGCAATTGTTTACAACTTTTCACACCATGAAGGAATTCTGATTCTTTAGCTTTTCAAGTTCTTTAATTTGTTGCCTCAAAAATAGTATCCTGCAAGAGAAGAGAAATAAATTAGTATAAACATTTCATTTTACAGAGATATTAAATAAGTATCTACACAAGTACTTCTGAAATTTCAGTGAAAGATACCAAGCTCCTTAGCTCTATTAATAAATTCAGATACTTTAAAATTAATACCCAATCTGTTCAATCATCTACAAACACCATATGCAGATGCACAGAGACCTGCCGTGTTTGATACCTTAGTTCAGAAAATTAAGTTGCTATGTTCCATTATGACTGATACACAGTTATGTTTAAGCCTGCTCTTCATTTGATTTTAACTCCCAGAAAAAGCAGGACATTGGAAGAGTACATTGAGTAACTAAATATTCTGAAGAATAGTATTATGCCTCTGTCATGCAGTTTTCCAGACTCTACAACAACCCAAAGCGCTCACATTTTTTTTAAACAAGCAAGTTTTCTTCTAGGTGCAATTTGGCTCTGCGGCTAGTGGTAGTCTCTAGTTATGGTAAGCTCCAATCTGAAAATATTTGATCACTAAAAGACGTCTAATTAAAAAAAAAGTTGTAACTACACCTGGCTTAGAAATAAATTATATTGCTAGCAATTCCCTTATACATTTTTCCTCCTTCTACTGAACTGACATAAACAATTCTTGTGATTAATTAACATTTGGTTTACGTAACAGTTTCCCAGAATTTTGAAACAATTTTTTATGACACTGAAGCGTAATGCAAGCATGTGAATGAATTCAGAAAACATTCAGGGCAAGTTGAAGTTTCATATAAATATACTATAAAGTCTGAAGCAACTTTAATCGATGCAGAAAAAGCATCCACTTCAGCAGACTTTTGTAGAACACTTTTCAAATATGTGCCCAGTTCAGTAAAAATTAATTTTCTACTGAAAAGTAGGTGAAAAATTATTAAGATGGACACACTGAAAAAAACATTAAACTTAAAAGGTGCGGGCACATAGAATATATCCATCAATGAAAAGTGCCTTTTCACATGCTGTCTGTCAGTTATGATTAAAACAATATACTTGCTTTGCCTAGAGATAAAGTTCCCTCTTAGAACAAATTTAATAGTTCTCTTCTGTGCAAAAGTATAGAAATAGTATTATCATTCAAATGTATTGGCTTCGATAATCCCATCCTTTGCGAAAGCCTCCCCCCACCAACTTGTTACTTATGCCATGTATTCCACGTCTTTGGGATTGCAGCAAAAATAAAAGATACATGTTATCATAGATTCAAAGTCATAATAATCATTATCCATTGATAGCTTAAGGATACACAGCGTACGAGAAACAAGGTGCTATTTAGTGAGCTGAACAATGACCTTTGACATGTTATTTCAGATCAAATGTGCACCCTGACAGAAATGAAACCTGTAAGAAACCAAGCAGTTCATGAAATATACTACAGAAATTGTAATTTATGTAATGAAATTATGAAATAAAATTTCAGAAAGAATAGGTATTTCAGATTCTTTATTAGGGAAGTTTTACAAATATATTATAGCCTACTTCTGACTATATCTTTACAAACACATTGTAGCCTACCTCTGAGTAAAGGATTGTTTTACTAACTGCCAAAAAGCAAGAGCTTCTAGGATAAAGCTAGCTATTTAAACAGTATGCAACACTATTAAAGCAGCTTAAAACAGTAAATCAGAATCACTGTATTCAAACTGTAGTGTGACTTAATAGATGGGATAACATCATTCAGAAAGGAAACTGGATATGAAAGTAGATTCAGGATCATGACTACTGGTGAAAAGCTTCAGCATGTATTGCAAGACTAAATTTTTCGGTCTTGCGCAACAGTCATCAATAACGTGGTTGTGTATTCCTTCAGTGACACACAAGACACCCGCTATTACTGACTTAAGAAGCAGAAGTCTACTTTGCTATAATCAACATCTCGCTAAAGAACCCCAAGATCTTCTCAGACGTCTCCTACCCAAGTAATAAACATTAATTTTTCCTTAGCTTGTGATATCAACGACACCTGTTCAAACTTGCTCTGGCTTTAGACCTAACAAATGTCTCATGCAAACTGTAGTGTTTAAGGCCAGTATAAACCATGCAGCTGTGTACTTGTGTGATCTGTGCATCATGTATGGACAGATATTTTAGAAGTGTGCTGAACTAGTGTGAGTCAATCAGTTTTTCCTAGTGCACTAACGAATCTGGAAAGATACATCTTTTCTATCTAAGTGAAAATACACAAAGTTGCATACCTGGTTCTATTCATTGGAGACTAAGAGGTATCTGTGTGAGAAACAGGTAGAATGTACACAGGGAAGACAGCTTGCAAACCTGGCAAGTATTAGCATACTTACAAAGTCATCAGTAAATATAGCTCATGCAAAACAATGCCAGAATGGGAATTCTAATACCACCTTGAAAATTACCATTTTGAAAATAAACACATAGCACACACTTACCTTTGCTCACGCAAAGTTGCTTGAATTTCACATACTCGAACTAAAGACCTTAAATTCTTTAATTCAGTACAAATTTCTGACATATGGACACTTCCCATGTTATGAGCTTCCTCACGTAATCTTGATGCCTGCAACAGTTACACATGAAGGTTCAGATTTAGAATCATGCATTGGAAACAACTGGCTGTAGCCAGAGGATTGCTGGATGAGTGTGTCTTGAAACAGCAAAGCACCCTAACTTCAAAAGGGAACATTGTATCAGAAGTACATTAAATTCTCTACAAAAGCCCATTCAGGATCAGAAATGAACAACACTGGCTGCCAAGAGACTGTCTAACCCAGGCCCATGCTAAGGCAGGGATGGTTTAGATTTCCTTGATCGTAACAAATGTTTACCCAACTATCTTGAAAGATAGTACATGACAGGGCTCCGGGTTTCCAAAGTAATTTGTTCAAGTAGTTAAAAGTCTCTGTCCACTATTTCAACGGTAGACTTAAAATTTCCATCTAAATTAAGCCTTAGTGACAATAATTGAATGCCATCTTCTTTCCAGCTACCTTATACAGGGGAAAAAAACCCTCTGCAAACCTTTTCAGGTGTTCTCTTCCAGACAAACTCCATTATTTTAATATACCCACTTAGGTGGAGACAAGCAGAAGTATAAATTTATAAGGCATGACCTATACCCAATTTGTGCATTTCTTTAAGTCTTGTCACTGAACTGGATATATGACTCCAGAGAATTCCTCAACAGTACCAAGGAGACTAGTATATCACACTGCAATAAGGAAAGAGGACTTCTTGCAGGTGCACAGTACTACGCAGTAGCCCATATGGTGCTATGTTTCAGATCTGTGACCAAAACTGTTGATAAAACACCAATGTTTTAGCTATTGCTCAGTAGTGCTTAACACAGCATCAAGGGTTTCTCCCTTTCTCTCTGACCCCCCAGCAAATAGGTTGTGGCTGGACAAAAGGCAGGGAGGAAATGCAGCTGGGACAGCAGATCCAAACTGACCACAGGGATATTGCACACCATATAATGTCATGCTCAGCAATAAAACCGAGGGGCAGTTTTCCAAGGGTTGCCATTGCTCAGGGACTGGCTAGGAATCAGTCAGCTGGTGGTAAGCAACTGCTGTTGCATCACTTCCACACCCCCCCATCTTTTACTTATTAATCTGTCTTTATCTCCACTCACGAGTTTTCTCACTTTTGCCCTTCCCATTCTCTCCCCCATCCTACTGGGGGAGAGTAAGCAAGCAGCTGTGTGGTGCTCAGCTGCCTGCTGGGGTTAGTCCACAACATCTGCCTACATACCTGTATACTTGATTTTTCCTTCCCCAAAATAATGGTATTTAGCACAGGTCTTCATCAACTTCTGGCATTTCTCCAGTTCAAATAAGCACTTTGTGTTCTAATCACCTACATTAAAAGTTTTCTTTTGTGGAGCATGTTGACATCCAGGAGTAGCCTGGTCTCCAATAGGACATCATTTCGCATGTTCTCCCTACACAACTCTGAAGCCTTGAGACTGACAGCAAACTATCAGTAACGACTTTCAAAGTACTTCTTTTTAAGTTGACCAGTCACCCATCTTAAAGTAATCTCATTTAAAAGGCCTTAAAATAATTTTTGCATAGAAGATTCTTGTTAAAAGGTGTTAACAGTCTTGCTGCAAATCAGGATATAATTATTGCTCTTCTGTATTACCAAAGCCTGATACTTTATCAAAAGGAAAAAAAAAACCAAAACAAAAAACCCCACACAAAACCAAACACCTGACATAATTTCTTTCTAAAAGGTCCATGCTGACTATGATCAGGATTTTCTTTTCAGGTGTTTGTAAAAAGGTAAATTCATCATTTTTTTCTACTTATTGTTCAGTACTCAAAGCACCTCTACAGTTACTGAGTCAAGCCCACCTACAATTCTGTTTCTCACTTTCCTTAAAGATAGTTACGTTGATTATTTTCCAAATAACCACATTACTGGATTGTTTTCCAATTTTCCACATTAACTGCCTCTTACGAGTTCTGCGACCTAACTGCTAGTAGTTCAAGAATTGTTTTAGCTACTAATTACTGCACAGTACGTTTCTTCGAGTCTGAGTGCTTTAACATATACCTGTCCTGGCTCACCTAATTTATTTACTTACTTAACTTTCAGTTTACTCTGGCATGTGCTCTTAGGCCCTAATTTCAATTTAAGCTACGCATCTGGTTAGAAATCTGAAGAAACCAAGGCACTGCATATTTTAGCCTTTCTACTTTCATCTAGTTTACCTTCTCTATGTATTGAACCTATACTTCCATTCACTTTTTTTTTTTTAGTATCAAATATATGACTTAAGTTCCTGAAGTGTTACTATTCACAACTGGTCTATAAACAACACTGTCATATGACAATCATCTGAAATAGCAGACAGGACAATACAGCATGTAACACTTGGCACAAAGGTAGAAGTATCCAACTAGTACATGACCGCCTAGCATTAGTTGGTTTGTTTGATTACTTTATTACTGACAGTGAGAAAAAAAATTACCTATGAACTGTATAAATCTATATTCTCTGCATTAAGACATATGTCAATTCAGTACAGTGAAAATAACACTACGAAATCTATGCACCAAGGCCACAGAGAGAAATGGCTGTGCGGCACCATTTCCTTAAACACACATTCCACAGCAATGGCTCAATCATTTGACTCAGTGCAGGCTGGTAATGTCTTAAAATTCAATTAAAAAAAATTAATTAAAAGAAACAAAACAAGAACCCCAAACAGAGTCCAAATGGGGTATCAGTCTAAGCTGCACTTCTAAGAGTCATCCGGCAAGTTACTACCCAAAAGCCTCCAGTGTAGGCTTGAGCCAGCATGCAACCACTCTTCAAAACACCAAAGTAAACGAGCGTAAGAAAGATTAATATCCCATACAGACTGTGTCAGACAGGGTTGCCTGCAAAAGGACTTGAACTAGACTCAAACAATATGGTTTCTTTGAGTAATACTTTCCAAGCAGCTGACATGCATCCAGTTTCCCTGTATTACTACAACAGGATAGGTTTCATGCAGTTAATTATAAAATAAGGATGGCAATTCTACTGATTTCCCGTTACGTAAAAATAGCTCAAATTCAGTCTGAGCCTTCTACGTCATCTCAAAAACCGGGTACAACAAACAAGGCAGAGTTCCTTTTTCATTGTGTAGAGCTAATAACCCAGTGATTCAAACTGTGGAGCAGTCTCAAATAGTTTAACTCTTGTCACCTAATTCATAACATTTTCCACATAACAAAAATATCATTATATAAAAATTTGTTGAAATTTGTGTTCTTTGTAAATTTCAACAGAACTTTGGCAGTAAGAAAATAATTATGAGGATAGCTATTCATCTGAGAGAATTTCAAAAGCACTGGTACTTTAAGTGAGACTGAAAATACTCAACTGCTAAATGGCAATCACCTGTAAAACCCACAGGTCTGGCCTAATCTCCCTCCCCTCTCCTCTTTTCTGGCTAAGGCCAAGCATCAGGGTTTTTTTAAATACTTTTAATTCCTAGAAAAAGCAACCTGTGTAAGAAAACCAGATTTTAAGCTATACATTTCGCACTCTCACAGGGAACAAAGCGCAAGTGTACTCACCTGCTTTTCTGCATGATCTGCAGGCCAGCCTTGAACATGCTTTATAAGATTTTCATTGAAGTGTGCTGCTAGCGTAGGTGTTAATGAACAAGTGGGTCGTACAGATGTATTTTGCGGTGCAGGTGTTGAATTTGATGCACTAGTGCTAGAGGTATGATTTGGACCTGGTGATGGGCTTCTTTGACTACTAGAAGAAAGAATTAAAAACAAAAGTGAGCATTTAAAAACATGTGTAAACCTATAGAGAAATAACACTTAAAATTCATTACTTCCAGCCACAAAAATACATAAACCATTTAAACCACAAGTAAATACTTCTGGTAGACCAAACCTGTGCCACTTTTCCACAAACCTCCTACTTCAATGAGAACTGTTTGAGTGCTGCAATATAACAGGGTTCTTTTCGTTTGGCTGGGTTTTTTTGTTTTTTAACTGATAGCTGCTCAAGAGATGTAAGTTGTGGCTACATTTTAGTGTTGGATAGAGAATATATATGTGTATGTTCTTCCTTCAAACAGCTGCAAACCTAAGATTTTCAATAATGATGTATCAGATGGAGTCAAGCAGGTTCATTCAGCAGAATATTGGCAAGTATCACAATAATCATTAAGTACAAAGCCTGATGTCATGATCTAAAAATACAGCCATATCAGGCTTTGAGGAGTATAACCAGTTACTAATGCCAAAACACAAACACCTAGGTGACTTTGTGATACTGTACATCCTCACTTAAAGATGTGTTCTGAACTGTTTTGCTCAAAAGAACAGAAGTATCACAGGAGCAGTATGTTTGTAGCTACCAACTTGACTGCTTTACTGGAACATATTCATACTGCCATTTTTCTGGCTGGTGTGTTAACCTGTTGCTGGAGAACAGATGCATGGAGACATGTTCAGCTGATGTGTACTGTAAGACAAATCAAAAACTCTGGGCCTTGGACAAAGTCTTTGACTGTCCCCTTTCAGATCTCCATACGCAAGCAAACACAACATTTACATTACCTGAACACTTCACCAATACACAGCTTTTCCAATTCTACTTTGCAACTATAATTCTTGGTCAAAAACTTTTCTAATTTTTACTAAAAAACTCTCATGTTATTCTTGGCGTAGCAGTCTTTTGCCATCCACAGTGCTCAGGATCATGTTATCTATAAAGTATTCTAGCCATTGCTTTAAGCAATGTTGGGTTTCTTTTTTTAAAGTGCATTTCTCTAATAATTAGCCTCTCATTCCACTTTACAAGACGTTTTTCCTCTCTACCTCATGATGCTTCTCATGTATGGGAGGGGCCTTCTTAAGAGTTCCTTCTTAAGAATCCCATCTCTTTATA